TAACCGCAGACCAATTTACAGGTCTGTATGTTGTCACTTCGAGATCTAATYCGAATCAAGTGTCGGTTTATATGGCTATAAATCTCGACACACGTACACCTTATAGCTTTATTTAAACAGAGGATTAAGTAAAAAAGGATGGTTATTGAAATATGACTAGTTTCATTGATCAAGGAATTTYGTGTCCACGAACATGTACAAACATGTAATAGGGGAGGTGACCACTATATATTTCCTTAGGAATTATGCAGTGCCTACCAAACTATGACTTTATTCAGTTAAAATACATACAATTTGTTTCGGGCAAATCACTGAAAAAAGGCCAGGAATAGAAGGTACAAAGCAGGCTCGTGCTAGTCCTGAATAAATGCAAGAAAACTGTGTAGGATGGTTGTGTTTTTATTTTACTTTCTTATTCTGCCATTAAATGGGTTGGCTCTGAATTTTACTGCGAAAATGACTCACCCACGGGCTAGCTGGARCTATGTTCGTGTTTTTCAATGTTTTTATCAAACCTCTTGAAGATTTAAGACTGGTTCTCATCACTATCGATGCAATCGGACGCAAACATCAGCAAAGCGCAAACAAATGCAAGAACAGCAAAATCTTCCATTCTCTCTTGCTTTAGTGTTGCGTCACTTCTTCTCTTAATGAGAACATGAAGTCTACTTGCGTTTGCTTCCTTGGGCTTGCATTACGTCGCTTTAAGAACATAGTGCCGTTAAAATTCTGGTGAAATAAAATTGTTGAATGTAGAAAGTAGCGCATTGTTAATAGTCTGTTCGTTTGTATTTATTCCAGGAAAGGCATTTTTAAATTAGATACTTAGAATAAAACATTATTCATTGTTTTGAAGAAGTCTTTTCTGTGCACAGAATATTTCTGATTTAACGAGAGATTTTAATCAGTGGTCCACTTAATAACCGGCGAATGAATAATAGCTAGAACTATAAAAAAATATTTTYGAATATAAAATAAATTATCTCAAAATATTATCAAGCGATTTGATTTTTTTTTTCAAATGATCTAGGATAACAAGTTATATATAACTCTTTACCCTCAATTTGGGGGATTTACCTGGCTTGTAAAGAGGATATATCAATTTTAGTGTTACTGATATATTTACAGATGGGCTCTTGTTCTTGAGATGCTTTGACCTGGCAACTTATCAAGATCCCTTTTCGTTCACCCAAATTGAAAAAAAGAAAGAAAGAAAGAAAGAAATGACAAGGTGATCAAAAAGACTCGACGTGTCGTTTTTTCCTGTTAAATATATATAGCAACTCTGATGAAAAGGTAAACCAGCGTAGCAAAAATAAATACTATTTTTTGTTCATTGTTTCGTGCCGTAATAAGTAAAAAATGATTTACATTAGATTACATTATCATATTACATCAAATGCCTACKAAATCACAGGGCGTTAAATTATACAAATTATATATTTTACGCAAGATCAGTTTTCCTCTTCAAATCATTTTCTTTCTTTTTTGCTATTTAAACTAGTTCCCTCAAATTACCGAAAATCTACCCATAAATTCATGAGCAACTGATTTCATTTCTCGGCCTATTTTAAGAATGTGGACCTGCTCATATTGTGCTGAATTCGAATAAAACACGTCTAGACGCTGGTCACTGTCTCGCTCGAGAATCCCTTCAGTGATTTTGTACCTCGTGTGTATTTAGGTAAGGTTTCCCATTATAATCCTGCATTATAATCACACGCCCACTCATCTGTTTGGTAATTACAATCGATACTCCAGTCTTTTGAATTAGTATCTTTGGCAATTTTACAGACACACGAGTCTAACAATACCAGTCTGTTTTCTTGGATAAGTATGAGTTACGTTGATCTCTATTCTAATTCTTAATTGCTAATTATTAGCTATTCTACTCTATTCAGTACTGTTCTTTTTAAAATTAATGAACTGTCGACTTGTTCCGATATTAAATGACATTCAATTGACTATTATTTGACTATTTTGTCATGAAAAAACGAAACACAAATAGTTTCTAATGATTATTGTTGTGTGCCCTCTTCAATTAGCTGGCCGCGCCTTGTTGCTRTATGGCCGGATATGAAAATTTAGCATCGATCATTTGAAATCAATTTGTTCAACACACTGGGTTAGTTAAGATTGGAATTTGGGCTGAGCAACTCAATTGATTTGCTATTAATATTTGAGAGAGGAAAAAAAGCTATTTATCAATCTTTTTTAAACCTTATTGCACTTCATGCACTTCCTATTTAAAAATTCCAACCTCGAACAATCTTAGTCAAATATTATTATTAGCACATCTTTAATAGTTAGATAAGCACAATGAGCTATTTTCATAAAATATGTTTACCAATAAAACAAACACTTGACGCGGCGTGTTGGTGATATATAACAATATATATTGATCAATGGAACGACSATCTTAATTCAGTCGTGGGTCGACAACGAGGAGACTTCACACTTCCTCTGTTTTATTGCTCTATTTTATTGTATTGTTGTTTACCTGCTCCTAAATCTTGCTCTAAATTCCACTTTTACAATAATTAGTGAAAAATAAAATGTTTTTCAGTAATTAATGGGTAAAAAGGACTTTACAAAGTCAAATGTGTTCAGCGAGCAATAAAACTTCCAACCAAAAACTTTTWAAAAATATTTTCCTTAAAAAATGTGTTTAAATGAAAGCTAAATTAACAAAACGTCTATGAATGGCTAATGATTAGTTCCATAATTAGTTACTAAATATAATCTAGAATCTGGAAGGTATTTAAGAACGTTGGTAATGCGGCGATGCCATCCAGACTAATATCCCACTGAGAGTTAGAATTAAAGGTCAAAAAAGCTGTATTTAGCTCATGATCGATCAGAGCAAGCCTGTAGGGCAGGTGAGAAAAGCGAGGAAGGAAGTAAATAAATCACTAAGAATACTTCATATGTGATGTATTTAAACCACTATATGTTAGTCTGCAGTAATTGTTACAAGTTATATAGCACAGGTTTACCGTACAGGTACACGTGGWAATAAACCTATAGTATTCAAGTTTACTGAGAACCAATGTACTTTTGATGCGTTTCTTGGAAGTAAATGCTGGTCGGTGGTGTCATACTGATACAGCTCCGACCTTTCAGGCAGCCAGGCCTTGAAATGTATTCAGGAAGTAAGGCTAGAAAAAGTTTCTTAACTGTAACTGTACGTCATACCGTAGTTTGGGACCAAAAAATCTCGGGTGGTCCGGTAATAAGGACGGCTAGTTATAACTAGGACATCAAAGTGCACCATAGTTATTACTATGAGTGCTCTTAGAAATTAAAAACTGCCAGTTTGGAAAAGATACTGATTGCAATCACTAAACTAATTGGCTAGYTTTCTCCCGACAAAATGTTCAGTGGGAAAATCAAATTATGTCAGCGAATTCTTGGTGGATAAAAGGGGCGAAATAAAAGAAGAATTCATCTAAAACTCCTTAATTTCCTTAGTTATTTTGGTCTCGGATATCAAAAGACGTAAGACCCGGTTACCGGTAACATTATGGCAACCACAAACGCCGACGCATTGGCAGGAAAAGATAGAATAACAAACAAACAAACAAACAAAAACCACACGAAGAACATCTACACTTGACTAAATGAGGATTGTTTATTGAGTTATGAGCCTGTTTATTTTGAGTTCACTCAACTTACAAACTACTTTACAACATATGCAACATGCACTGAGCAACAATAAAACTGACAATTATATTAAAGCCGAAAATTTCGGTTGAGCACCGATCAAACATCCTTGCAGGTCTARTAACTTAATCACGGTATTCGCGTCTATCAATCGCCGTTAATAAGGTTTCCAAGAGCGTAAATCAAAAACGTTTACTTGCTTGAGTGAGTAAAGTATCCTCGCCGGTGAACCCTAAAAAGAAGAACAAAACAACTGGGAGTTGCAGTGGGTCGGAACTTCAAAAATGACTAGCATTTTATTGACACACCTAAAGCAAAAACTCGTATTTCTCTCCTTGCAAGCAAAATCGGATCATCTTTACAACAATAGTCATTTGCCTTGATTAGTGTCTAACTTTAAAGTCAAAACAAAACAGTTTCTATTTCGATACACCTTTTGTCGCGTGAAAGATTATTTGCTTTTCTTCTCCGCAAACAAAACTCTTATCTTAATCCAATAAAGGTTAATCAAGCCGGAATAACACTTAGGCACGATCTTGACACATTTTACACACATTTAACACACAACAGCTATGTTAATATGATMGCTACTAAATTTTTACTCTTGTACTGTGGTATTTTGAATGACAATTGACGTACCACGCGTCCTAGAATGAGCCTCATATGCCTGTATTCTTCGGTACCTTTTGTTTGAAAGAGGGTCGACAATGTTTATCGAAAACATCACTTATTGTTGTCTGAATTTATTGAATTTATTGCAATTGTGACTGTTTTGGTAATAGACACTATTTATCACTGACACAATCATAATCTAATGAATGGGATCTGGTTTTTATCRCTGGCAAATCTTTAGATCTAATGTTCTGAACACATTCAATCATACTTGGTGTCTCTTCAGATCCCCCAAATCGAACCCCACTTCTAGTTAACCGAGATAAGAGGTAAAAAATACTGGAGCGTGCAGTTAGTTTTTAATGCCTTCGGCGCTAGCCCAAGGAGATATTTAAGTAAGATTGTTTTTAGTGGTTACGAGGGGTGTACCTACATAATTAAAAGGTGTGTTGCGTATTTGTATCATTAGAAGAGCATGTAGTTCTCAGACCACACAACAAAGCGTAGTTGTTAATGATTACTAATTGAAATTTGTAAACGACTTGACACCAATTATAGACGAAGATTGTAGTAGGAATGTGATTGGTTGGTTCGAGTGTGACTTCAAAAAACCCCCAGTGAGTTGTGAAAAGGCAATTTCCTGATCATGTGTAACCAGAGCCAACACGAGGCGGTGTCTTATAAAGCTCTCGTCGCTTTGTGAAAGACTTGTAAACCGTGCTTGGAATGCGATCAGAGGTTATCTCCAAAAGGATATAAATGAATTACCATTTATAATACGAAAGCCAGATCAACGGATTCGAGGTCTGCAGTGGAGCACTCCCAGTCAGTTGATATATCAGTGCACAGATCGGAAAACAGATAAAGCAAGCGTTAGCTTCATTGRGGGATCACTGTGCAACACCGACAAGCTACAGATACTTATCACCATGCGAGACTTTGAGGCATCTAGCTGCGAACAACGGTCGCTGCTCTCTCCCCTCAGCACAGGTAGTTCCAGTGGATCAGAAACCAGTCTCAGTCCAGGCTCAACCACAAGGAACCAAAGCCGATACTACGTGAACAGGAAGGCTGTGACACTACCTCTGGATGACAGAAGGCATGCCTACATGAAAAGACTATATACCAATAGCCGTGAACGCTGGAGACAACAGCATGTCAACCTAGCTTTTGCAGAACTCAGAAAACTWATTCCAACTTATCCACCAGAGAGAAAGCTCTCCAAAAACGAGATCCTGAGACTATCGATGAAGTATATAAAATTTCTTGAACGCGTTCTTGGCGACATGAACACAACTTCAGATGACCCAAGAGATGCTCAAAATGATAAAAACCAAGATAGTGACACACAATCATCGGCCCGCGATACTTCCTCGAACCAAGGCAATGCGTGTACTTCTAATAAAGACAGTCCCATGACGATAGAAGATGATCATTCATCAACACAAGACGAAATCTCAGCTCTTATATTTGGACAATCATGAACGATCATGGAAGAAAGATATGAGAAGATCTAATTCTAATAATTAAATATCTTCGATCTTTTATGAAAAGGTCGAGATGTAAGATATTATCGCATCGAACCCCAATAACTTGATGTTCAAATTGTACATATTATATTTTTAAAGGACGATTATCACAGTAATTCCTTTAAGTTTGACGAGTCATATGTTATTCGATTGAAATCCGGGGAATGTTATTGTAGATTGTTTATCAAGTAAAAATAAAACTAGGCTAGTTATTATATAATGTTTATTTTATGATCGATAAAAGTGACAGGGGCCAGTGAAGTCTGGATCAACTTCTTTCGTCTTCTAACCCTTACATCTTAATAGTCTAGATTTCAAGAGCGCCTCAGAATGTAATCTATAGGGACTAAGGTTTGATCAGATATAGCATTTTATATTATTTTACGAGGTACTCATCAACTAATGTGTAAACTAATATAATAATCGATTATTACTGCATGGCAGAGAATTCAGTGTTCATGAAAAAGATGGCACCAAAATTACTTAATAAAGACTAAGAAAAACCAATGACTTTGTGAGAGTTTTTGAACTTCTTTTTATCATGGCGGGTAGCCGTTTCTGTAATGAGTTATTTCTTTTTCTGGTAAATGTCTTCAATTCGAAACGAATCTTTCGTGTCGAAGACAATTGTAAGACGAGAAGATAGCGGATGAGATATTGAACTTGAATCCGTGAAAGGGATAATATTTCTGTGGATATCGGTAGATCGACCCAACGATAAGCTGTGATGTGGATAAAAAGGGGGTAATAAAGAACCATTCGAGAACACACTACGAGATATTTAATTGTTTTGCCATAGGGTCAATCCTCTTGACAAGGCGCCTAATAGATCAATGCCAAACTTTCCAAAAAAGACACGTCCTCAACATAATACCTTCACCCATTCTTGGCGATGACCTGAGTGGATTTTCACACAGTTCTAATAGTTTTTCAGGGAACGGCTTAGTTTCCCACGACCAGTACAACTGATACCCAAGGGCCTTGACAAATGGTTTTCATGCTCCGACATTATGACTAAAAGCATTTTTATTAAGTTCAAACTTAACCCCCTAGTGAGGACATTTGAAGTTATTAGTCTGCAACTCACTCTTCCGAACTATAACAAACTGTTTTTCAGATTTCCAAAAGACAGGCTGTGGCGCTGAATGAAACTTGTCTTTATAACTGTGTACTTGGTTTATTTATATGTCTACAGTTTGGAGTCAACAGAACTTAATTAATTCTGGAAAAAATCCAACTTACGAACAATACCAAAAAACAGAATCCCCAACATCCATTACATGCAGGACAACGAGAGTAATAGACTGTATTGTTCAACTTGAATAAAGTATTCAGCTAAGTAAACAATGTGGACCAAATCTTTCTTTAAGTTCTCGGTTAAATGACTTCTAAAGCATTCGGGAGTGCAGTACGATTTTCCCAGTTCGAAGCTCTTTCAACGCAGCCCTCAACCTCGTGTYTAACGGGGGCCTCAAAAATGTTCAGGTTATTCTCATACTGCATTTTCTTTTAAAGGGTTAGAGACATAATAATGAAACTTCTGAGAATGTTTGATCATATATTTATATCATATAACACTTCTGGACAAACTTTCCAGGGTTTTAGAAAATTTTCAGTGACTGACTATATCACTGAGTTCGATGTCTAGGAAAATATTTTGAAGATGAGGTCGAACATTAGGAAAAGTTTAACATCGACCGAGTGTCCATAAGACAAATCAATCGCAATCAGTATTGCAAACATTCTGCAGACCATCATGTAGTGTTTTAAATCAAGAAGAACAGAAATTCTACCCCCCCCC